GGAGGCAGATCCAGGTGAAGGGCGTGGGTCTGAGAGAGGAGGCAGATCCAGGTGAAGGGCGTGGTTCTGAGAGCGCAGGCAGACACAGGGAAAGGCATGGGTCTAACAGGGGAGGCAGATCTAGGGGAGGGGCATGAGTCTGATAGAGGAGGTGATCTGAGGGGGACATGGGTCTGACGGGAGAGGTTGTCTGAGGAGGTGTGGGTGTCTCAGGTGGGTGTGACAGAGGAGGTGTCTGAGCAGGGCGTGAGTCTGGGACGCAAAGGCTCTGAAGAAGAAGGAGAGGTAGATCCGAGAGGGGAGGGCTTTTGAAGGGGCCATGAGTCTGCAAGGGGCAGAGATGTGGGTCTGAGAACTGAGGGCACATGGCGAATGGTCTGAGGGGTGTGTGAGAAGAGAAGGTGCAAAGAACATGGGCTTCTGAGAGGAAAGTCCTAGATTGGAGGAGGCTGAGCAGGCCAATGGCAGAGGAAGCATTCCATGCTGAGAACGGGGCATAAATCTGCAAGAAAAACTTCAACTTGAGTTTCTCAGAGTGTAGTAGGCCAACCTACTCCAGGAGAGTGGGTTTCGGAAGTCTTTTTCTTTTTTGCCTTAGGGAAGGAGAGGAGTCAATCTGGAGTGGGGAGAGTGAGGGAGAAGGCAGAGAGCCCAGGTCTGGAATTAGAACAAGAAGTAAGGCTGGGATGATCTAGCCGAGCAGGGGCATCAAGGGTAGGAAATCAAAATCTAGGAAAAGGGATAATGTGGGTCCGCCTGAGATGTTCAAGAGTTTTTGGTCCTGAATCGTCTTTACCCAAACACTTCTCCTTGATTCAAGGATGAGAGGTAGCCCAGACTTTCTTCCACTGTTGAAAATGGCTATATGCAAAAAGGAAGTTTCTTTTCCTTTCCTTTTTCTTGTAAAGTGCTGCTTTTACCATTAGCAGTTACATTCACTTTTTGGACTTCCTCTTTGGTGAAGTTAGTGATCAGAGAACAAGATAGACTATGCAGGCTACATTTGTCCTGTGTGTTCTGCGTGAAAACATGGTTTTGAGGTTTTCCTGTCCATCTCACACATTTCTTTACTTTGGATTTGAGATAGTGTAATTTTTGCGCAGCCTATGTGTATGCAGTGAGACCATTGTCCTCTATGGTGGAGGTGGGTTAAGTGCTGGGCTAAGCAGTGTGTGGTGGTGGTTAGAGTGATGGTAGATGAGTGTCTGGTTGATGAAGGGTGTGGGAGGGAAGGAGGAAGATAATGAATGCAGTCATACCTCTTTGTAAAGAAACTAAATGTTTAAAAATTTGACCTTCATGTCTTTAAGTGGATAGATGTTCCCTTTATGTCTTAAAACTTCTGAAATATTTCTAAATACATTGATTATTATTCAAGATTAATTTTAGTCTGATTTAGTCAAATCAGTCATACTTCAGTGAAAGTATGTGCATCTATTTGGCTTCATATTTTGGAGGAAGGATTAAAGTGGCATATTGATAAGTATTGTACCTAGAGTAAATTAAGTTTTTTTATAGCATGGCCTGTTATTATTTAGAGAGCACCTCCAAATAACTCTTTAAGAGATGTACTATAATGGAAAGATGACTAAAGAACCTGCTGTTTATTATATGGCTTTAGCCAAGTCATTTAATCTCTCTCAACTTCACTGTCCTCATCTGTTAAATTGGAATAATAATACCTCAAAGAGCTAAAATTAAGTGAGATAATGTGTGAAAGAATCTGGTATTGTTTGCTGAATACTACTTAATATTGATAGTTATCTTGTACTATTTGTTGTCTACGAATAATATACTGTAATTAAAATTTACCACTTGGATTGAATGGAATTGAATATAGTGTGCTTATTTTTTAAGAAATTGAAAATCCACGTGGACCAGAGATACCAAAGGGGTTTTAATGGCTTGAATGTTCTGGGTAAAGAGAAGATTTAAATAGACGTGATTGGAAAACAACATTGTCTATGTTATCCAGTTTAAAAGATGGATGTACGTTCATTGAAGTATGACTTAATATGATTAATTCAGACTAAATTAAATCTTGAGCGATCATCAATGTCTTGCTTAAGGACTGTTGTCACTTTTGCTTCTCATTATAGGACTTAGCTTTGCCCTCCCCCTTCTCTTTTTGACTGTTTAAGGGTCTGCTACTTAGTGACGTGGAAAAAAGTAGCCTTTCGTTTCCACAATAGAATATGGAATTGAAATGTTTGGTTGTAATTGTGGGGTCATTTACCATACCAAAAATAGTTGTTGAATGCCTATTGTGTGCCAGGCGCAATGCGAATCTCTGGAGATATAGCAGTAAACAAGAAAAATAAGGATCCTGCCAATCTAAAGCTGATATTTCACTGAAAAAGTTAAACAAGTACAAAAATATATAATTCCATGTTTTAATAAGGGCTATGAAGAAAATCCAGAGGAGAGGGTAATCCTGATAGAGTGTTAAAAGAACACCTCCCTACAGAGATGACATATTATCAAATGGAAATATGATGGAGAATCCTCTTAATTTGTCAAAGAGTTACTCAAAATTGGTTTATTAAGTACTATTATTTGTTGCAAACCTGGAAATGGCACAGAAAAAGAGTGGCCTGATATTTAATATTAAACTTATTTAATTAAAATCCATAGTAGCTGCTCATTGCGAATATGTGTAAATCTTATATGAATATGCTATAACCTCATTCCAACTCTCTCTTCAAGGTCTATGCTGTGGTCCTTTCTTGCAGTCAAGATTATTTCTTGGTTATTTGCTGTCTTTATGTGACCTGCCTTGGAGCTCACCCTCTGCAAATAGTCTTTTCTCCAGGGATGTTTGTCAAAAACAGTCCAAGGCAAATGCTTAAAATCACAGCTGTCTGAGACAGTGAATAATGATTGGAGCAAACAATAGGCTAACCAAAAAGTTCACAAGAAAAAGCTAGGGAATGAGATGTCCATAGGGGACTTTGAAAAGCTTTGACATATTCCTGGGAATCTAGAAGGCCATCCAAATGCGTAGGTCTATGTGCATGCCCATGGCTATACACATGCCCTGAAAACATCTGAGAATACCCTAAGCTCTCACCTCTGGCTAACCTTCAGTCTCTGTACAAACAGGAAGTAAAAGCTAAGGCAGAGTTGTGAACTTCCACCTGGCTGTGTGTTGAAGGTATGCCCCAACATGCGCACAGAGACCGTTTGCAAACACTGGCAAACTTATGCGTTCCAGGCACTTAAGGAACTATCTAATCATTAGCTGACTAGTAAGCTAACTGATCAGAGACTTCAGTAGCCACACAGGATGAAGAATACAGACTTTACATAATTAGTTCATAAAAGTCATTAAGCAAACAACAACAACAAATAGCAACAACAACAAACCCTGGTGTTGGAGGAGAGTCTGATTTTCAGAGTTGCTATGTTGTATTATTTAAAATGTTCAGTTTTCAACAAAAAATTGCAGGTTATACAAAGAACAGTTAAAAATCTCCCATAAATAGGAAAAAAAATCAGTCAATAGAAGCTATTCCTGAGGAGGCCTAGATGTTGGACCTACCATCCAAAGACTTTAAATCCGATATTTTAAATATGTTCAAATAACTAAAGTAAACTATGTATAAAGAACTAAAGAAAATTATAAGACAGTGTGCCACCAAGTGGAGAATATCGATAGAGATAGAAATTATTTTAAAAAAAGAACTAAATAGAAATTGTGGGGTTGAAAATTACAATAGCTGAAATGAAAAATTCACTATAGGGACTCAGCAACAGACTTGAGCAAATAGAAGAAAGAGTCAGTGAACTTAAATATAGGTCAATTGAGCTTATCTCGTCTGAGGAACAAAAAGAAAAAAGGATGAAGAAAAATCGACAGAACCTCAGAGACCTGTAGAACATTGTTAAGTGTACCAACATAAGTGTAATGGGAGTCCCAGAAGGAGAGGAGAGAGAAAGAGACAGAAAGAATATTTGAGGAAATAATGGCTGAAAACTTGCCAAATCTGATGAAAAACAATCTACATATCCAAGAAGCTCAATGAATTCAAGTAGAATAAACTCAAAGATATCTGCACCTAGACACATCATAGTCATACTATTGAAAGCCAAAGAAAAAGAATCTTGAAAGCAGAAAGAGAAACAACTCATCATGTACAAGGAATCCTCAATAAGATTAATGTCTCATTGTTCATCAGGAGCCATGGAGGCCAGAAGGCAGTATTCAAAGTGCTAAAAGTAGAGATTGTC